CCATTGGACTCCATTATTAATTCTTCACTTCTGAAATCAGACTTCCGTTAGTGACCTCAGGCTTCCATAACGAAGCACTCCAATCCAGGTGTCTCAAGCAGAAACGATTCCCTCACAGGTCAAAGGCCAGAAGTCCAAGACCGTGGTGTTGGCAGGCTCATATTTTTCTTGGGGGCTCAGAGGGAAAATCTAGTCCGTGACTCTTTCTAGTTTCTGGTGGTGGTGGCAACCCTTGGTGTTCCTGGGACTGGAGACCTATCACTCCAGCCGCTGCCTCTGTGGTCCCACGGCCTTCCTCCCCCGTGTGGTCTGGGTCTCTTCTTGTAAGGAACCAGTCATATGGGATTAGAACCCATCCTATCCTAATATGACCTCAACCTAACTGAGTATATCTGCAAAGACCCTTTTTCTGAATAAGGTCACATTCACAGGTACTGGGGTTAGGACTTGAGCGTCTCTCTGGGGACACAGCCCAACCCACTGAGGCTTTATGGCTGGGGGACCCTGGGGCCCTCCCCACTCTCCAAGTCCATGAGGCTGATGGGCTTTGTCCCCTCCCGCCTTCCGTGGGTTGTTCTTGGGCGGCAGGGGTGTTGGGGGCACTGGCCCAGCCCCCGTGTTGCTCCAGTCCCTCTGTGGCCTCTTCATGTTCGGTCACTGCTGAGTAGCTGCAGGGTGAGCATCAGCTCTCAGAGGCTGGAGCTTCCCACCCTCCCACACAGCCCTGGTGGCCGGCAGTGTGCCCTTCCCTCCAGATAATAATGAAGACGTTACGGGAAACAAACCCTAACACTGACCTTTGCAGCCCCTCGTGAAGCACCACTCCCTACCCCTGCCACGCCGACCCCCATCTGGGTGCATGGCTGAATGTCATTTATCCTTTGTCTCTGATCTTTGAGTCAGTTTCCGGTACATGAGACTGTTCTCATCCAGGCGGGTTCAGACCATTTGGCAAGAATAATTTCACAAGCCTGGTATTAGATGCTGCACAAAAACCTAAATACATAATGCATCTAGCCTCGGATTTTGTAATTCTGTCACACTCAAAACAAGCTGTCAAAACTGTCTGGCATGACTTATCCTTAATAAATCCCTAGTCCTGTTAATTGCTCCTTATTCCACTGAATAAGAATTGTTTGAATCCACAAATCGGGTAAAGAATGGAGGATAATGGGATGTGTTTAGAGGATTGCAGTGTTTTTCCCCCAGGACAAAAGGAGCCAGAACACACAGTGGGCACCGTGCGGCTCCCATAGAGGGAGGCTGGATTTAATGTGCTTTGGCTTTGAGTCTGGCTGTTTTCAAATGGTTCTTTCCATAGAATGTTCGGCAGGAAAGTGATGCATTGGTTGTCTTGGAAAAAGAGAGGGCAGGCTGAGTTCCATGACACTGATTGGTCTAGAACCCATTTGGGGGCACCTGCCTGGTGCTATTTGTGACTGGTGTGCTTGTAAGGAGCAACCCAGGGTAGTGTGCATGGTGGTGTGGATAGGTGCAGCATCTCTTATGAGGACTGCGGAGGTATCCCAGCACCTCCATGAAGATGAGGTGCTCACCCCCTCTGGCCCTGACACTTGGAGAAAGGCTTTGGCTCCAGATAGACCTGGTTTGTCTTCTGGCTTCAGCATCTAAACTGGTTTTGTGACCTTGAGCAAGAGACTCACCCTCTCGAAGGCTGTGTTTCCTCCTCTGTGAAATGGGGTGGGCCGCCAACCTCAGGGTAGGAACTGGAGCAGGGATGGAAGCCCCCAGCAGGAATACCCTAACGTGGCTACCACTCACCCACCTTAGGCCGAGAGGAAACCAGGTCAACGGGCACTTACAGAGTGTGCACCACATGGTGGCATAGGCAGAGACATGGCCTGGTGTGTCAGTCACACCCTCGGCCTCCCCCACTTTGAAGTGTGTCTCAGGGCCTCAGTTTCCTGGCCTACAACATGCGGTAGCGATACCCACCCCGCCAGGCTGTCACAGAGGACGGCACCTCTATCTGCAAAGCCCCGTTCATGGCTCCTGGCCCAGAAGGCATCCTCAGTCAAAGCCAACAGGTAGAAGATGCAGTGCCTGGGTGAGCGCAGCCCGACTCTCCAGTTGGTGCCACAGCTGTGTGTGTGGATGCATGTGGGCACATGCGCACATGCGTGTTTGGCATGTCTAGAGGAACCTCGGTTGTGCCCAGTAGGAGGAAAATGCCGTTGGCCTCCAGAGAAAAGACGACGATTTGGCAGGGGCATGAGCAGCTGGGGACCTGCCCTTGCGGAGGTAGGGTGACGTCAGCCACAGGGCAGGACGCAGGTTGCAAACTGCAGGTGCAAGGCCCCTGACGTGACGCTGGCATGCTGGAACCTGGCAAGCATCTTCTGTAAACACAGTCCAGAGCTCAGGGTGCTGGATGCTGGGCGCCTGCCACCACTCGGCTCAGTTGGGGACAGTATGCAAATGTGGGCGCAGCTGTGTCCCACGAAACTTTATGTATGGACAGTGCAATTTGCATTTCATATCATTTTCGTGTGTCATTAAATATTATTCTTTTGACCTTTTTTCAATCCTTTATAAATGTAAAAACCAATCTCAGCTCACGGGCTGTACATAAGCAAGGCGCCAGCCCAGGGACTCTGTATAAGAGGGAGGCTGCCGCCCGGTGATTTCAGGCCCAGACCACAAATGCTGGGAGGACAGGGAGCCCTTCACTTTGTCCACTGCTGTATCTGCATGTCCAGCAGGACCCTGGAGCAGAGGGGGTGCTCAGGGGCCATGAGCAAGCAAGCGGATCTCAGCGTTTGGCTTTGTGGCATGCACTAGACTTTCTACTCCGGGGGGTTCTTTGCCATTCTTGGGTCGCCTGCATGTAAAGAAACCTGGTCCTGCCCATTAGAAACACCACTTGTTTTTGTTCATGTCAGTCCTTCGCACAGAGCTCCTGGGTGGAGTTTACGGAGTGCATGTGATCTCTGCAATCACAGAGTCCCATCTGCGACTTTCCTGGAAAGCTTGCTCCACCCTCAGCCAAGGATTCTTGGGCCTGGAAGAATATGGGACTAAGATTTCTTCTCTTCAGGAGCTTCGGAGGGGGAGCCAGCCAGCCAGCCAGCCTTCTTTCCTTCCTTCCTTCCTTCCTTCCTTCCTTCCTTCCTTCCTTCTTTCTTTTCTTTTCTTTTTTTTTTTTTTTCATTCTCACGCCTCAGCCTTGCAAATAGCTGGGATTACAGATGTGTGCCACCACGCCCGGCTAATTTTTATATTTTTAGTGGATGTGGGGTTTTGCTGTGTTGGCCAGGCTCGTATTGAACTCCTGACCTCAAGTGATCCGCCTGCCTTGGCCTCCCAAAGTACTTGGATTATAGGCGTGAGCCCCCTCGCCCGGCCAAAGGGGAATGTTTCATACCCCAGATTTAGAAACATAACCCTCTTTCAAGAGGTGGGTATCAACGAACATAAAGATAACCTTTAGCCAAATGCACACAGTGTCAAGAGGGAAGACATTTAATGTAATCTCGAGATTATTAATTTTTAAATAGTGAAAACGTTTTGTTCAAATGGAACAAAATTATCTCACATCTATCTACTTTTTAAAAAATCAGCAGGGGCCAAAATGGAAACACATGACATGAAGGACTTAAAAGAGACAACTGCTGTAATCCCAGCTACTCGGGAGGCTGAGGCATGAGAATCGCTTGAACTGGGGAGGCGGAGGTTGCAGTGAGCCAAGATCGCACCATTACACTCCAGCCTGGGTGACAAGAGTGAAACTGTCTCAAAAAAATAAAAATAAAGAGAAAAAAGGAAAAGAGACAACTGTACATAAACAAGGCGGCGGCCCAGGGACTCTGTATAAGAGGGAAGCTGCCGCCCGGCGACTTCAGACCCAGACCACAAATGCTGGGAGGACAGGGAGCCCTTCACTTTGTCCACAGCTGTGTCTTCATGTCCAGCAGGGCCCTTGTGCAGAGTGGTCACTCCCAGCAGGCGCTAAGAAATACCCTGGGACCACCTGTGGGTCCTCTCAGCCGGCACGATGAAGCTCACACCATCTGTCCTTCTACCACGGGCTCTCGCCTCCAAGTGGACAGGATAAACGAGAGCCAGAGGTTTCAGAGGAATCCCAAACGATGAGCTGCCTGTTCCTCTTTCGAGAGGGGAGCCCACTACAGAAATTCACAGCGTGATTTGGTTTGCAGCTTATTTTATGGATGTCTCTGTCTTAGCTGAATGCTCTTCCATTCCTCGACCAGAAATATGAGCATATGGGAATATATACCTCCTTCGACCTAGTTACCCCAAATCTAGGAATATGTTCCGCAAAAATAATTCTACAGGAAAAAGGGATACCGAAATCCTCACAGCAGAGTTATTGACCATTTTTAAAATGTTGTCAATATCCCAAATGTCCCAAAGTCAAGAAGCTATGAATTCTTATTGAGCACTCTGTTACCACTAACTATGGATATGGAGGCTGTGTAATACCACGGAAATGTCTGAATTCAGTGTGAATATGTGGGATGGAGGATAAGAGAATGAGAGCTACATGTGGGTGAAGGCTGGAAAGAGACCCCTCGATTTGTCAGGATGCTAAGATTGTGAGTTCATTGCTTCCCTTCAGGTTTGAATTTCACTACTTGAGTAAATAGGCAAACAAGACAAAAGATTTTATTTGACCAGAACAGTATTAACGTATTAATAGTCTCTTTTTTGCCACTGATAACAGGTCAGGTTTGGATTCAACCTGTTCTTTATACTTTGCACTCATTTTTCTTCTTTCTTTCTTATTTATTTATTTGTTTGTGTGTTTGTTTTTGAGACAGGGCCTTGTTCCATCACCAGGTAGGAGTGCCATGGTGCGAAGTCGGTCCACTACAGCCTCCACCTCCTGGGTTCAGGTGATTCCCTCACTTCAGCCTCCCAAGTAGCTGGGACCACAGGTGCTTACCACCATGCCCAGCTAAGTTTGTTCATTTTTTGTAAAGATGAGCTCTCACTATGTTGCTCAGGCTAGTCTCAAACAAGAGGTCAAGGGATCCTCCTGTCTTGGCCTCTCTGGTGCGGGTTTACAGGCACGAGCCACCACACCCAGCCTGCATCCATTCTTTCCAGTCTGGCAAAGATGGTATGGACCTGGGATCCAGGAACCACTAGGCAAGCAGAAAGACACAGGTCGCCCCTTCCCCGGCCCCTGGGGTGTGGTGGCCTCTTCAAACACTCCAGGTGTTCGCTGATGACCTGCCCTGTCTCCACCTGAAGTGATGACAGGTCTGGTCACAGCCTATTCAAAACTGGGTATTTCTTAAAAGATGAAAAATGTTGGAGCCAGGAGAAGATGCAGTGTCTGAAATGTTAAGTGTTGAAACCCATTTCTAAACTGAAATTGGATTTCGCTCTAGAATGATCTGAATTTGGTGGATCAGAGAAAACACAACCCCTTTTTCTTCCTGGATGGTCCGGCAGGTGTGTGCCTGCATGGGAGGAGCATTCCCCCAAACAGGCTGCCGGTTCCTGAGTAGTGGAACCCAGTCCCGCAGGGTGAGACCTCGGACACCACTCACCCGCCTGGGGAGTGTGCTGCAGATGACCAGAAATGCAGGAGAAAATAATGACACGAAGGATCTATACAATTTTGGGAAAATGTCCAGCCCTGTAATGTAGTAAAAGATCTTACTCTTAAGACGGGTGCCAGGAACCACTAAGATGCCATTTATCATCCTTCTCTGCTTCCTTGGTTCTCTTTTGAGTGCCAGTGAAAAGTTCATTCTAGAGATCTAATTGCTTTTGAATGCACAATACGGTGTCTTACTAAATTCAGCACTCAAGACACTGGGAGTGCCTGGCTCTCCCAAAGGTGCCGTCTTTGCACCTTTTGGGTCTGAGAATGGAGGCATTTTCTTCAGTTCATCCCAACATTGTGTGGGACAGGACAAGCCTGTGAACCAGGGTCTCTCTGGACCAAATGGCCCTTCCTCTGATCTCCGCTGCATGCCTTCTAGATAAAGCACAAAAGCAGAACACAAAACAATCACCAGGTAGCTACCATCTTCCTCTTCCTCCTCATCTTCCTAAACCAGCACTGCTCACACTTGGCTGTGCACACAAATCACCTGGGACTCTGCATGACTGATGAGCTCCCACGGGAGCCATGCTGCTGGTCCCTGGACCACACTTTGAGCACTGTGGATCTGGCCACCCCTCCTGGCAGCTCCCAGTTCCTGAGAGGATGGGAGGAGAAGGGTTTCGGCAGAAAGAGCTTCACGGGAAAGCTCTTCAATGCACACTGGTGTGAAGGGACCAGTCGGCCTTGCTTCTGGGCCATATGCAGGACGGTGTCCCTCCTCCTGCTCCCCGCCTGCAGGGAGAGGACAGAAATCACTGTGCACTGTGCTGCTTCAATGCGTGTCATTTTAAAGGTGTTTAAGATCTAAGACGATGATGGCTATCAGAGGTAAAGTAATAACACTGCACCTTTCTGTATCCCATCAAATGCTTTGAAGGATTTTCCAACCAATTACTTGACTACGGCAGATATCATCGCCCCGGTTCCACAGATGAGGACACTAGAAGACAAGAAGATGTGTGAATGTCCCCGCCCATGGCCAGTGAATAAAAGTGAAGCCAGGCTAGCATTCAGGTGTTTGGGCGGACCCCGAACCCCGTGCCCCCACTTTGCCGTGTTGCAGGGCAAATTCAGATGACCAACCATTTTTTGCGCATGCAGGTGCAGCCCTGCAGGGACCTTTGTGTTGCTCGGCGTGTGGGGTGGACCCGCTGGCCGCCTCTGCGTGGTGTCCGGGCTTCCTGGAGGTGGAGTCACCTGTTCTTGGTGAATGCTCAGATCCATGGGCGTGGGCTGCAGCTAGCAGAGTCTGAGGCAGGAGGATGTCACGCTCTGTGACTGTGGATACAGCCGCGGCTGCGTAACAAGTCCCCCACACAGGAGCCCCTAACAATGGAAATTCGTTCTTGCACGGCTCCGGAGGCTGGAAACCTAGGAGGATCAAGGTGTCTCAGGCCTGGTTTCCCCTGAGGCCTCTCCTTGGCTTGTAGATGGCGTCTTCCCTCTGCGTCCTCACATGGCTGTCCGTCTGTGCATGTCGGTTTCCTAATGTCCTCTTCCTGCAAGGACACAGGTCAGATTTGAAAAGGGACCACTCCAATGACCTGATCTGATCTTAATCCCCTCTTCAAAGATCCTATCTCCAGATACAGTCTCATTGACCACCCCAGTGACCTCATCTGCTCTTAATCCCGTCTTCAAAGTCCCTATCTCCAGATACAGTCCCCTTCTGAGGTCCCGGGATTTAGGGCTTCAACATATGGATTTTGGCGACATGATTCAGCCCACAGCTATGGCCCTACTTGGTCGTTTGTGGAAGGCATGGTACGTGCAGCAGCTGCTGCAGAAGTTGATTAGGAAATAGAATGCCCCAAGGACCAGCAGCCATGTTTCAGCTAAAGGCCAGGGTGGTGGAGACGCCAATCACAGCAGTTTCAGCCCATCTGCTGGCCCAGCAGAGGCAATGCCCGTGACAGCTCAGCCCAACCTAAGGGCTTCCAGGAGGGCTGCTGAGGATCTAGGAGGGCGAGGAGGCACCAGGAGGGAACAGAAGGTGGCCAGGCAGGACCAAGGGAATGGCCTGAGTGTCACCCTGGGCCCAGAACATTCCTGGATATGGCACACTGGGTCTGAGTCATTGTGACCCCAAGAAGTAGACTCCTGCTGGGCCATCCCCAGCTTCCCAGTCAGCTGAGGTAAGCGTTGCTCCTACTGGGTGACCGAGCATTCTAGAGGCACTGGGTGTGCCCCAGGCTGGGGTCAGAGTCTTCTGTGTGGGTTTCCGTCCAGCTTAGCCTGTGACTCCTTGGGGACACCGTGTTCCTCATCATACTTCAGCCTCCTCATCTGAGAGTTTCTATTGAGGTCCCCGCGGTTCTGCTCTGGCTGTCATCCTGTGCCAGCCCACTCCTCACTGGCCAACCCTGAAACCCTGGGGTCTGCACTTGGGAAGTGGGGTTAAAAACTCTCATCCTCTCTCACTGAGACTGTTGTTTTGGCATAGATTAAGGTAAATTTTATCCAAAAACTTCTCGAACACTGTTAGTGAAACAACATAACTGATTTTTCACAAATGTTCTAGCCATATTCTGCCATCGTTCAGAACTCTTGGGAGAACCCCACCTGAAACTGCCTTCCGGGTGGACGGCATTCTTTAACTCTTGTCTCCTATGGGGGTGGATTTGACTTTTGAGTCGCTTGTTTCAGGGAATGGTCAGTGGTCAGGGAATGAATCATCATCCAGCTCATTTGTCCCTTCGAATCCTGGACACAGAATGAGTCCTCTGAGCCCTGAGGTCTATCAAAGGACAAAGACACAGCAGCAGCTGAACAGGGTGCATGTTGTGCTTCAATCTGTGTCAAAGAGGAGGAGGGACACAGACATGCGTGGATGTTCATGTGCTCACACATGTGGACACACACCTGGAATGTTTCTCGGGGGAGGAGAGCTGGGGGCCTGAGGGGTCTGGGGGAGGGATGAGCCTTCGTTTTTACTCTACCCTTCTGTTCTTTTTGTTTTTGCTTTAAAGAAATCAATTGATATATTACTTTTTTCCATTAACAGATGTTTTTAAAGAAAGAGCTGTCTTTCTAGCCCCTGGGAACCAGAAAATAAATGCTCATTGAAAAAAGGCTCTGCCCTCCCCACTACAGAAAGGCCTCACTTCATCCCAGTTCCAGACGACTTCTCCCTTTCCCCAGCGTTCCTAGTCAGCAGCACAAACCTGCCGAGAGACACACCTCCCAGAAATCCCCGAATCCCCTCGTTTCCTCTAGTCGACTCCTCAGGCAGCCTGGTCCCTCCCTCCACCCTCTCAGTTTGTGATTGGACATCAGAGACTCACTTTGGGCATCTGGGATGCACAGACACCCTGCAGTCCCCAGGACCCTCGGATGGGGGAGGTGAACTATGTCTGTTTCAGTGGGTGAGGCATCTCCCATGGGGGAAGCCCAGTGCCCTGCAGCAGCTCTCCAGGTGTGGCTTCAGACATGGCCTGGTGGTCTGGGAGGTGGAACAGCCTCTTGTTCGAATCACCAAGGCCTGTTCTTGGGATGTGAAAGAGTTCCTGGGGGGTGGGGCTTGAGACCAGGACGAGGGTGTGGAGACCAGATGAGCAGGGACTCCCCTGAGGTGTGGCCCTGTGCAGGGACCGCAGGTCAGGAAGAGCAGAGGGTCAGGAAACCTTGAAGCCCCTCTGCTTGCAGTGGTCTCTGCCTCCTCGGAAGCCATACAATGTTTTCTGGTTTGCTTGCCAGAAGCCAGCTGGCCCCTTCTGCATAATCCATGTGTGTGTACACATCTGTGTGCCTGTATGCATGGCGTGGTGTGTGCGTGTGTGCAGTATGTGTGTGCTTTCACATCTGTGAGATGAAGCATGCAGAATTTCCTGACTCATCATCCAGTTCATTTGTCCTTTTTCCTCTTAGATATCGAACATTTTATTATTTTATTTTATTTCTTGAGATAGAGTTTTGCTCTTGTTGCCCAGGCTGGAGTGCAATGGCGCGATCTCAGCTCAACACAACCTCCACCTCGCGGGTTCAAGCGATTCTCCCGCCTTAGCTTCCCGAGTAGCTGGGATTACAGGTATGTGCCACCACACCTTGCTAATTTTGTATTTTTAATAGAGACGGTGTCTCTCCATGTTGGTCAGGCTGGTCTCGAACTCCCAACCTCAGGTGATGCACCCATCTCGGCCTTCCAAAGTGCTGGGATTACATGTGTAAGCCACCGCGCCCGGCCAGACATCTAACATTTTATAAGGAAGTCTTACCATATGCCTGCAAGTATTCAGAAGGCCAAGTTGGGAAATGCCCCAACAGATTCCAAAAATAGGACTTTTCCCCTTTTCTAGGTTGGGGAAATGTTTTGCAGAGGTGGTTCCAAACAGATCATCACTCATCAACCATTATGTTCTCAGTAACAGGACGGTGAAGCATGCAGCTCTTTGTTGGGCAGAAAACTGTAAAATAAGGAAACAGATATTGAATTTCAGTGTTTAGCTCAATTGATGACAAAGGGTTATATTATCATTAATTCATGTTTATTGGACTTCCACTGGGCACATGTTCTTTTTCAAAAATTTTATTTTAATTTTTATGCAGAATCACGGAAGGGTCCTCTTTTTAAACGTTGGAATTACAGAAGTGTATTTGTCTGACATTAGACGGAGTTCAGTAAATATTTGTTGAACGAATGAACAAATTCGCATCATGCTCCATTTATGCTGCAATATTGTTACCTCTGCCCTTTTAGGTACTCTCACTTTCTCCTCTTAGGAGTTTTTTGAAACCAGTAGGAGCCCTCTGAGCGGTGCCCACTGGAGGGCACAGCCGAGAGGTGCAGTGTGAATTGGGCGCCCAAAGTCCTTGCTTAGAAGATTTTTTAACAGAGGTTAAGCTTATGGTATTTTTCGTGTGACAGATTGTATTTCTTTTCATTCTCCCTAAAATGTTCAAAAATTAAAGGGTTTATTTTTTAAACTGGCAGAATGCATTTTAAAATAGGAAAGCAAATGCTAGTACCAATTTTGCATTTAATAATAAAAGGAAAGTGTGTTTTTTAACTTCATAAAGAATCAAATTGTTAGATGATTCCCATTTGGAAAGATCATGAATGTTGATGTATTATGCCTTTTCCTTTTTTTTCTGTTTGGTCACTGTTAAGTTGAAAATAAGCTCCAAAAATAAAAAATAAAAAAAAGAATTCTGGAAAAATATCCCCCCAAAATCACGTTGTTCTTATTTTATTACTTTTTTTTTTTTTGAAAAACCTAAGCATATATGTTATTGGTAAGTGTCTGTGAGTAACAAGAACAGGAACACTTACTTGCAAACTATTTTAAGTAAGAATGACTCATTTCACTCTAATTATTGCAGGCAACATTTAGGTATTATTTTCATTAAGTACACTATTATTTGTGGCAAATTGTGCTGAAACATTTGTGTTTCCCCCCCAAGGTCTTATGGACACCACAAATTCACCTGTTTAAATACGGAATTTACGGCGGCTGGAAGCACTCCTATTAATTCTGTTATATGTGGTTTTGGCTCCCTAAATAATGTCTAGCTAAAACCTCTCTTATTACGTCCAGATGCAATTCATTTGTTTCTGATATGCAGAACACTGGAAATGTATCAGCCTTTATTATTCCTCATCGAAATGAGCGCCTTTAGATTTCTAATTATATTGTCTAATAAAACTAAACAGTCAATGCTATTTGCATATTATATGAAGAAGTGTCATACAACAAACTCATAGCAGTCAATTAACATAAAAGCTAATTATATATCTCATCAGCTTACAAGAGTTTCTGAATTCATGCTTCCCCTGTTGTAGCCTAGAGCAAAGGAGCTTTGAATTTTCACTTCTAAATATTGACTTTTAACTAATATCAGCAGTGATTTCAATTTTTATGGATGAAAAGTTAGTGATTAAACTAGATGCAATATTGCTACAATGCAATTAAAATTTTACATTAACTAAACCTCCAGAAAGAAAATCTTTGCTACAATGTGAAATTAATTATCAGTCACTAAGCAGGTTAAGTACTGGTTTCATATCTGAAGGACACTCCAAAATAACGATAAAGATGAGTGAAATTTATTGGAGGTTGTCAGACTGTAATGGCAGAGACAGATATACTACAACGACAGTTTCCACTGTAACATAATTGTATTCCTGCTGATTGTGACAGCTATCAAGCAAGAAATTTACTACAAGATTAACAGAGACACAGTAATGAACAAACATGGAGGCATGCTGTAATTGGCCGTTATTAAAGCGTTATCATAGCGGTCTGTAATAAACTCCCTAGCTCCGGTTTTCTAGAGAAGTCAAAGTCAGAACTTTCAAGTACTTTTTTCCATTCTAAAGTAGGGATGTGGGTATCCCCCCACCCCCATTCCATTGCTCACGTAACAAGCACAAGGTCAGAAGAAACGTAAAGGGGGAGAAATAGGCACTACATTTAGGAAGTATGATTAAGAGTTATAGGTGGGTTTAAAATTTAGGAAAAGTTAGGATTTACTTGGAGTGCTTGGGGTACTCTAAGATAGCAATGAAATTATCATGGATCATTTTTCTACTTATAACTTGTACCAAACAAGTCCATATGTAAAAGCAATGGCAGATAAGAAAACTGTGCCAGTGCGTGGGTTTTCTCCGGATACACAGGCCTTCTCATTCATATTTTAATGAGGTTAGTATCTCTGAGACAGTCCTTGGAGGGCAGAAGCAAGGCTCCCTAAGATTACAATAGGAGGTGCTTTATTGACAAGTACTATTCAAAATCTTCACAGTATAGAAAGACTTCGTTTTATTCCACTTGTCCCAATACTTATTGGCCTCTTATAATCAAAACACTTTGAAGTGGGAGGGGGGAAGCCCAGTTATTCTGTGAACAGTCTTTAAATGTACTCATCGTAGTTCAACTGCTTAGAATCATTTTAAACTCTAATCATGTACATTTGAATAAATGTATAAAGAGCTGTAATGCATAGCATCTTTTTCTTAAATATTTTCTCAAAAAAATTGATGCTCTGGCATTTTAGGATCAAAATGTTTCTTAACCTTCTGCAAAAATGAGCTCCATTCGTGTCACGCTGGCTGTTTTCCCTTTCCTTTTTTTAACCAACATCATAAGGTGTGTCTCCGAGCTAGCTGCCAGCAAACATTTTCTAGTTTTAAAGGATGTTTACTTTAAAGGGCTAGTGAATCACATCAAAAAGCCAGTCAACCTTCATAGACTGACAAAATTATAGAAATTCACACGTTTGCACCTTGCCATAACATATTTGTGTTAAAATAGGCAAAACGGTAGTATATTCAAACAGGTCAAATTACACTTTCAAAATAAAAACAATCCACTGGGAGGTGGAAAGTTGTAACATGGGGAACTGTTTCCAAAAGGTGCAGCCTAGGAAGTGAATCAAATGGCCCGCAGAAGTGAGTTGTGGAAGGCCTTCCACACAAGCATCACAATTTTGCTCAAAACTTATATGCTCAGCAATTTTTGCAAATAGCTCACAATATTCTGTGAATTGAAAAATTAGTTTTCAGCGTGGTCTCTACTCAACATGAATTAGGTGGTGTATTAGGATGGAGTTTGGTGTTCTAATGGAAGAAAGGCCTAAGTTTCTGAAAGCCCCGGCGATCAGACCATAGTGCCTCCTGGCTCTGTCCCCATCCCCCCAAGCATCAAGTATGTTTACTTTTCAGATGGGAAACCAGACGGGGGGAGGGAGGAAGGGAAGAAGCGAGAGAATGAATTTCTTGATTACAGTTAGATATTTTTTAATGAAAGAGTCTACTCTTCACTTTCAGGTAAAATGCTACTCTGTTGACATCCAGAAGCTACTATGAATATATTGTATATGTATCAGCTAAGGAAATAATACTTAAAATACATGCATCACAGAAAACGAAAACCTCCATAATCTTTCCGCTAGTGATCTGTCCGGATTAAATTACATTTTAAAATCTGCCTCTGCATTTTATAGTTTTTCCAATGATTAGCATGTGTTTAATTATTTGTTTCTGTAAATTAATAAAACAGATTTTCAGTTTTGTTTGTTAATCTACGTATTGTGTGCATGTTTTACAACTTAATCAATGAAAATTAATGAACGGCATAATTAAAGCGTAAGTAGAACGCAACTTGTGTTTGAAATGTGCACTTTGAGCCGCTTAGGCTGCAGTTTTTGAGGGCAGACATTTTTAGAGATTAAAACATTCGTGAGTTTTAAAAACGTGGCATTTGAGTGATTAGATACATGTGGTGGTATATGCTATTAAATAGTCCATAAGCTATTGGACTTCCGATTCGAGTGCTTGGGCCTTGAGAGCAGCTCAAAATCAAGCTCCAGTGGAGTCGTGGGGGAGGAGGAGGGATGTTACCTGTGCACAGGGGAGGCGCAGCTGATAGTTAATCGGCGGCTGTATTTCTCTGGCGCGTCCTCTTCCCAAGTTTCTTTTAGAATGTTTTGACAAACTGGCTTCCTTATTGAAACGGGGGGCGCCGGTGGCGAGGCGGGGCGGTTTGTAATGGAACCTGGGTCTAAAGAACACAGGCGCACCCTCCGCCCGCGCTTTCAAGGGGACGCCGCCGCGCCGCTGATGAGATTTGTGGCCAGATGGCGGTGAAGCGCGGAGACCCTTTGTGCGCCCCGAGCGCGCCTGTGAATGTAGCGCGGTCGCTGGCACCGGAAGGGTTCATACTGCGCCTGAAAGGGGACAATGGAGGCTGGATAGATCAACACTGCAGAAATCGAGTTCATTTGTGATTCAGCCCCTTTCACTGCGGTTGTCATGCAAACTTCCTACTTTGATCAGCAGAGGGTGGAGAGGGAAAAAGCCCGCAAAGGCCGCGGGCTGCGGCGCGGTCCGGCGCCCTTGGCGGCTCCACGCCCCCTTCCGGAAGGAGCCGCGGGGACGCCGCATCCTGCACCTTGACCTGTCTAGACGGCCCCGAACGTTTTGTCTCCGTTACCAAGGGCGAGGGGTGCTCTTTGACCCGCGCCCGGGGCGGAGGTGGTGGCCAAAGGGTCCAGCTGAATCCTCGCCGAATTCCGGAGGGAGAGGGGCGAGCGGGGACGTGCACCAGCTGTTCCCAAAGAAAGCAGCCCAGGAGCCCGCCTGGGAGATGGGGCTCCCGTCCGTGAGCCCCTTCCTCTCCCAGCCCCGCGTCCACCCCAGCCCGGGCCATCGCGCGGCTGCAGCGCGGGGGACGCGCAGCCAAGGGCAGCCCCGGGGTGGGCCAGACTTTGGGCCTCCTCAACTTCTCCCCGACTAAGGGGGTCTGCAGCCAGCTGAGCGCGCGCTCTCTCTCCCTCTCTCTCCCTCCCTCTCTCTGTCTCTCCCTCCTTCTCTCTCTCCCTCTCTCTGTGTCTCTCCCCCTCCTCTCTCTCTCCTCTCTGTCTGACAAGTAGATGGATAATAACTGCCATTTTCTATGCGTCATGCTTTTTGCTACATGCTCAGTGACTTCTAAACATGATTCTATGTAGAGGTATAGTTTCCAGTTTGAATGTATTTTTTTCTGTACACTTTGAAATATATGCACTTTTTAAAAGCTAGAATTTACGCTAACCCCGTAATGATGTAAAGCAGGTTGTTGTTACATTGTAATAACAGTCTACGGTACCGTCTACTGTGTCTGTGCTGGGGAAGTGGCACACGTTTGCATTCATGGAGAGTGTGGCGTTTCCATGTGGACTCGCCGGAAGGTCTTTGAAGTAACATTAACATTAAGACAAGTTTCCTCGCCCTGTCTTTCTTCTTAGATCCCCCTAGCCCAGTCGGAGGCGTTCCTAACGGACCTTTTGGAGAAAGTCTGTGAGCGAATGAACGACTACAAGCTTGAGGAAGACCCTGTGACGAAGGAGAGAACTTTCAAGAGATTTGCTCCTAGGAAAGGAGACAGAATATACCAAGAATTTAAAAAATTATATTTTTATTCTGATGCTTACAGACCTTTGAAATTTGCGGTAAGCTCTCTTCCTTGCAGATGAATCGTATGATCCAGAAACGTGTTTTTGGAACTCTTTTTTGTTGTTTACTACTCTTGTTGTAGTTGAGTTTCAAGATATGGAACATCACAATGCACATTAAAATGTCACCTGCTGACTTTGTTATCTTGCTGCTTAAGTGCTCACTATACATTTGGTAACTCGACTTTTGAGACCCTAAGGGGTTGTGGCAATTTGTGGTGATCAATGGACACGTTTCAGTGATACTTTATGGAAGGTGCTGTTCACAAATCCTGGGGACTTGAAGACACAGTTTTGCACAATGTTTTGCTTAAAACATTTGTGTAGGGACTCCGGAGTGGTCTCCGTGCTGGTGCGAGGAAGGTTCTCTCACAGGTTTCCACGTAAGGAATCAGGGGCTGTGGTTTCCAGGTTAAAAGCCAAATTAAAACGAATGTCGCTTTCAAATATTTACAACCAAATGCTAGAGGGAGAGTGATGCAACCATCTCTTTTTTTCTAAGGCTTCACAGAGGAGGGAGAATTGTATCCTGAGTTAATTCAAGTATTCTAGCCCAAGCTAAGTTAAACAAAGGCTTAGGTATGATAGTGGGCTTGATGTCAAATTTCCTTCCAGTATAATGTTGATTTTTCATGAATGGTAGTCTCTGGCTTGCTAGAATATGCTTGGCAAAGTACATTGCAATATATTTCACTTTAGTCAATGCTGTTGAATCAGACAAAGTGATGGGCAGTCCTGTTTTTAAAAATGTATTATTAAGTTCACACATTGGCCAGAATATCAGGCCTGCTGGATCCTTGAAATAAGGGCTTTAGCCGATTTTTAAAGATTTTATTTTAATTAGAAAGTAAAGGCAATTATCAGGGTTAAAAGTACCACAGAATAAGAATGGCAATGAATAAGTGCGTTTGTATTTCACAGGTTTTAAATAGGCAAAACCTGTGAAATTTAAATCTTTTAAAATGCCATTAAAAATTTTTAGAGTCTTGCTTAATGAACTCAGAAAATGATTTACAAGTCTCTAGTGAATACCGTTGGGTAACTTCACAGCTCCTAAAAGTATAACCTGGTAGTTCTTTAACAAAGAAACATACTTCAGTTAGAATTTAAGATTATCAAATGCGGGGGCATATTTGAGCACCCTCTTCTCTGAAAGGTCAGGGTTTTTTGTTTTGTTTTGTTTTGTTTTTCCTCTTTTTTAGTGAAGTGAAATTTTGGATGGATCTCTAAATAGTATGAAAAGACACTTCCCGAAGTAACTGTCAGGTGTGTTCTCCACAGTGAAACTGAAGATGAGTTTGTTTTGATTGCTGAGAAGTCTTAATTGTTTTCACACTTTCAAGCCACAAAATGGATTTTTATGTTAAATCTGAAGGAAACTGGTTTAACCATTTCGAGGAACTGTGGTCTTTTAATATTTTTTTTGGAATTTAAAAACCGTTAGACTTTTCAGCGCCTTAAATGGGAGGCCCGTTTCTTCCTATGGCTTCCATTCCAATTTAAGGAAGTGAAACATGCAAAGAATGATGTTCCTTCCTCAGCCTCCCACATCTTCCAATACAACTCATCATGTACTTAAGCCCCAGGAAAATGATGCAATTAACATTCTGGGAAGAGGGTTAATCCAATGCAATGATGTATTAAACCAAAAGGGCTAATAAAAATGGACCACCTTGGTTACATGATTTCCTATGTGTAGCTAATAAATTGTTGCAAAGTCCTTCCTAACAAAGTGCCCCGCCAGTGTGCGTCTATCCACATATGTTGTTATTATGTTTCTGCAGTGTGAAACTATAATAGAAGAGTATGAAGATGAAATATTCTCACTTATCGCCCAGGAGGCACACTATCTAGCTGACAAGCTGTGCAGTGAAAAATCAGGTACTGTGTCTGATGTAACATGTACTCGCTGCTCGCACACCCTCTGTCTCTCACTCAGCCTTGCAGCGTCTTGTTTGCAGACCGAGCCTCGCTGCCTCTCTGTGACCCACAGCTCTGACACAGGATCCCCCGTCTCCGCTGAATCAGAAACAACAGCATGTGAGAGAAAACAGATAAACAGAAACCACAGGGCTGTGTGGCCTTCCTCTTTCTACTTTCTTTCCTCTACATGTTAAGTGAATTCAAACATTCTTGATTTCCAGTTGTTAAGGAGAAAATTCTTGTTCAGCATTAGAAGACTCCAAAGTACTTTCTTTTTAAGAACTTTGAGAGAGAGGATTTTTCCATACTGGACCAGGGAAGGAGACCCTCACTTCATGGCTTGAGTATTTGCTACACCAGCAGAAGGTGCGATTTTTGTTTTGTAAGAACTTTCTAAAGTTTTTTTTGTTTGCTTGTTTGGGTGGGGGGGATGCTGGATTTTTTTTTTCCAGGTTCCATTCCTGTATCCACTTCTTAAAAAAATTTTTTTTCTGGCTCAGAGGATGGAAAATAAGTTAATTCTTAAGCATATCCACACACTCAGAAGCTGGAAAAAATTAGCAGAATTGTATTTATAACATACAGAGTTGAAAGTGGTCACTGACTCTCCACTCTGTTGGCTGTACGTAGACCTTCTAGTCCCCTAACTTGGATGCTTGTTTAATACATTTATAAGAATGGAGTACACAGTTGTGCATTCTTTTTGGATATCTTTGGGAAGAAATGAGTGAGTAGATATGAAGACAATGACTTAAAGCCAGTGGGGTACTTTTAAACAATGTGGAAGTTTGAGACAATTAGCATTCAGCAGTTGTTTACAGTAAAGTATAGAATACACCTACATCCATTATATCAAATGTAGTGCCAAAGTCCTTAAAATAACAGCTACTGCATATTTGTAGATAAATATTCATGTCATCAAAAGCCATTAAACAAGAAGTACACAAATCCCCCATTAACAGAACAAGTAAAGTTTTTTTTTTTTTACTCTGAGTAGATAATTGGGTTGTTTCCTGTTTAAAATCCAGTTTTAATGAAGCTTGCAAAAGAATACAGTGAGACGATGTAGTCAGGATTATTCAGGCATTTGGCGTAGTTTTCTTTGATGTTGGAGATATACTATAGAAATGTGTGATGTCCATAGCCACAACTTCCCACAGAAAATGTTTTTAAAGTGTTTCAAACAATTCAGAGATGTATGTAGGCATTCAGATATAAGCAAAAATGTGATGAACAATATTTGAAATGTTGATTTTCCGATTTTTTCCTCATAAAGGACGTGGTCTATGACAAACGCAGATCCACTGCTACATGGGCCCTCTCTCAGATGCTCCAGGAGGACTAGAGAGGGTTCCAGTAACTAGTCCCAGCAGTGGTCACCCCGAATAATAATATCCTGGGGAAAGACTACTCCCAAGTTTGTCAATTTGACTTAATTTCAATAATCTTAACTACCTTTCTTCATTCCTTCTGCCTATTTATAATTGGAATAAAAATTAACACTAACCTTGGGAAAATGCAAGCCTAAAGAATAAACCTAAGATAGGTGCAATTTTGCAAGGATAAAATGAAACCTGATTAGATAATTCTTAATTGGCATTTGATTTTTAAAACACTGATTAAGTCCTTACCACTATGAACAGCAGTGTTGGAAGTAAAAGGTGTGAAAGATACTCAAAGGTGCAAGCCATCATTGAACCACAACGTAGTGAAACAGGGTGAGTCCTTTCAGGTAACGTTTCTTCCTGAAACATATTTATGGATGTTCTGAACCACTCATAAGTTAAAAACCGAGAATAAATTACTCCTAGAAAGGGACTAGACTTCTCCCACCCACTCGAAAAGCCCTGCTGTTGAAGTGAGTTAATACCACAATAACAAGGAAGAGAGTTTCTTCAAACTGAACAATTTTTGATAGAAAAAGCTCAAGCAACACATCAATGATAAAAACTGTGATAAGCGACTAAAGCAACAGAGAATTCATGCATCTTAACACATGAGGATGGTTTCAGACAACTGAAGGATGAGATGTTCGTATAGTAGAAAACTCCAGATGCACTGGTGCCTAATCGAAAACACAAGGACAGCCACTTTACAACCAAAATATGACAGTCACACTCTGCTTTGTGAAGGCGATACTTTGCCCTGTGATCTAGCACTACAGCTTTGCTGTGATAGATTCTCTAGAGTTTAAACAGTGTCTTAAAGATGTGACTCTGTGTGTGTGTGCGTTTTGGAGGGTATGGAACTGCACATTAAGCAATAACTATTTACTGAGTGTATACTAAGTGCAAAGACACTATGCTATTAAAATATTCACACGCTGCTTTTAGGAAGATAAATATTTAGAAAATAGACATTGGTAGAATTAGAGGTTTTATTGAAAGTTTAGTTCCTTTCTACACTTTACATACATCTTGTTTATATAAGAGTTTCACTTTTTTTCTTCTTAATGCAAATTATTTCACTTTATTTATAATAATCACATGTTGGCCAGTAAGGGCATGTTCACAGACTCTTCCAAATATTGAAGTTCTAACATTCACCCATACACAAAAATAAGTGGGGAAGAATGGAGAAAATATATATGTCAGATTTAAGATGATTGTGTTTGGATGAAAATATAACACATCACTGAGATTTTCATAAACATTGTGTGTCATTTTTTTGATGAGTGAAAAAAATCTCAATGAAAGGTTATAGGATTACAAGTGAATCTGTGGCTGCCACTGCAGTTTATATACTGGATAGAATAAAAGTCATCAAATGTACTCGGTTTTTGGAGTGTGAGACAGAGTAATAATAAGGGGTTATTCCTCAGATAATCTCTTTTTTTCCTAGGCAAGAAATAAAGGCAAGTTCATTAGATGTTCTTGGTGGAATATCTTGGGGCATATAGCCCAGACTTCTCTAGAATGTCATTTTGATGTCTTGGAGTCAAAATGATTAAAATCTTAATGTGCTATAGGGTTGTGATGAAAAGTGCAGCTCTTTGCCACTCAAGGTATGGAACAGAGTACTGTAGCTTAGAAATGAATGGATCTTCTAATACTCATGGAAGTATTTGTTAAATAGAGTATGTGATGGCATAAATAAATACACAAATATATTCTGTATGTATCACTTCTGCTTCCGTATCAAACTTAACATTTAAAAGCATCATCACTGATGAATTTGCCCCATAACAATTTTGAATGCAGCGTATGAAGATGAGATCGTGTATCTAGAAATGTTGAGCCTACATTTAAAGTAAAAGATTTTTCCCTTTTTATGTAGACTTCTCAACACTAATGGAAATGTTAAATTCTAATACGTGAAATAATTACTTTCAAAGGCGAGCATATTTTTTTAAAGTTATGTAGCTAAAGTAATCCATAGCCTTTTTCAATAAAGTTTGCATTAATTGCTTCCAATTGGAAAAGTAGTATTACCAAAGTATCTAGTTGCTGCTGTGGTCCTTGGGTTAAACGCCAGATGTCCTGTGCCCCTTACAAGCTGTGAAATATCTCTGAGTGGAGCCATGGGTGAAATGACACAATATCTTGGCCTTGCTTTAAAATCCTCCAGCCAAAAAAGACTGGAATATGAGGCAAGAACAGCAGTGTTGATCTTTGTTGAAGTTGGGTTTGGGGTGCAGGGGAATAGATTATACCTTTCTTTCTGCTTTGGGGTAATTTCTATAATAACATTTTGGGAAAATTTCCATAATAAAAGTTTTTAAAATATGCTTCCACCAGAACGTCGTTTTTGCATAATGAAAATGACTTAATGGGCTGGTGTCTAAAGTAATAGTGATGCTATCTAATTTTTTTTTTCCAGATCTGTGTGAAACTTCTGCTAATCATACTGAGCTCTAGGAGTGCCGTGCTGCTAGTTGTAGAGAGGAGTAAAGTCACACCCAAAGGTCAATGTCTGCATTTTATGTTTGCATGTTATCTTTCATGATAAGAAATTTTGTCTCATACCATGTTTGTCTCCGTTTATGATTTATTTTGAAAATCTGTTGTTTGACATCATGACAAACCCTGAGTTTTTTAATAGGTGAAGCTGAGGAGTACATGAAACTTAAATTAACCTTTGCAGATTTTGATGAATCAAGCTTGACAAGAAAGAATTTAATTCTGTATTGGGGGAAAAAGTGAAGACATTTCATAAACAAAATAGGGATTTCATAATGTATGCTGTTTATTTTATAACAGTGTATGTGCACGTATACAAGTGCAGTAGCTGTCTGATAAGAACTGAATTTGAATTCTCAAATACTTGATTGCCTATAAATTTAAGGAAATACATGGCAACAAATTCAAAATGTGGTCTTCTGGGTGAGATATGGCTATTGGTGAAAGAAACAAACTCACTTTTTGTCAGGAATGAAATTTAAATTTTTAGAAATCACAAGTTTAAAAATTCATCTCTAAAATTTAGTGGAGTGTGTAAAAACTAATGAATGCTTTAATTTATAGTAAACAATAATTATATTGGCCTCTCAAGCACCAATCTGAGTTTAAATGGTTTAGAAAGTTGAATTATTATTGCATCGTGTGTTAAAAGATGACGCTAGTGATTGTGTTTTGTTTTACTCCAAACTCTTCTGGTTTGTTTGTTTTTCTTCTAAAGTTTTTTTATTTTTTTTAAATTTTTTTTGGCTCACATTTAGTGTGTTGAGTTTACTACTAAATAATCTTCCATTCTTCTACAGGAATGGAAAGAGAGTTGGGACCTGGTGGGAAATTATCCTTTGACCACACTTAATATACAAAGTCTAGTAACAGTCACTCCCGGAAATTTATTTATCTCTGTTAAATTTGCATTCAATGGAATCTGACTTTAATGATGAAAAATGTCAGGGTATAGTCTACACCAGTTTCTACAAAGAGATTCTCATTGTCTTTGGTGACAATCAAGTGGGTAGGATGCTACACATTCTGCCCGGAAGACCTAAAACTCTTTGCCATATTGTTACTCAGTTGCTTAAAAAGCACATTATGTGTTTAAATCATTCTCCTGACTCTTCAGCAGGAAACAATCCTTATATTTAGGAAAATTTAACAAAGCTAAGGGAAAGGGCTTTCCATGCCCCCTCCCCACCTCAACTCTGATTAAAAGTTAGTGAGTTAATATCACTTAATTATTTGGGTGCTTTTTTTTTTGATCTTGTCTGTAGCTGCTTAAGTATGATGGCTCCTTACATAAGCCAATGAACTCGCACTCTAGCTGACACACGATGGAAATAGAACTGAATAATAATTAACACTATTTTCCAGTAGGGTAGGACAATTGTTATTTAAAACGTAGTCCCTATAGCTTTATTTAAATGTACCTAGTTAAGGTTAATTTGGCATTTAAAGTAGTAAATCAGGAACATTCTCCTAACTTGGGTTTTCTTGGGAAATGCACTAAACAGGAAAATTATTCCCAAAAACCTGGTGACCTTCACAGGAACATGGTGGGAACTGTGACTCTAAGTAAAGCTTCACTGAAAAATGTTAACAGTTGTAATTGTAGAAGTGTTGCCAAATTTGTTTTCATACTCTCATTGATCATCATTAAAAATTCTCAAATGTAGACAATACTAACACTAATTATAGAAATTAAGAAAATGTGGACTCCTGTTTGTGACTAAACGGACACGGGGAGGTGCACCTCCTGTCACTGAGGGGTGCCTTTCTTTGACAGTGATGCTTTGCTTTGAATGTAGAGGGCCAGGAACCTTGACTTACAGCGAATAGCTAAGGTTTTGCTAAATATGGCATTTCAGGTTTTTTCTTGGATTTCCCATTAAAAATAGTCTTGTGTCTTGCAAATTTTTAATATCTCATGACTTGTATATTTTTTCTTTCTAGAATTTTTTTCCAGATCAAACTTGCTAAACTCATGTAAATATTTGTAGCTTACGAAGTTACTGATTAAACCTGTATTTGAGTGATAACGCACAAACCACTGGATTTCTCATGGTTGCAGGAAGTCTTAGGTTTCCCTGTGGGTCACTGTTAGGTGGTGCTGCTTTTGCTCATGAACAATGAGATAGAGTAGCTACTCACTTTAGCATCCTTCTAGCCACCTCGGTGCCTTGTAAGTCACATTTATTGACCAAAACCGAAATAAAAACAAGTCATGGGGAGGAAACAAAAACAAAATAAAAGAAACAAGGCAATGTTATGCTGTGAGAGAAAAGTTTCTCAGAGTTGATGAAAAGCGACCTAATTCCATGTCCAAAAAAAATCCCTGCAAAAACACAGGGTAGGGTGTGTAATGCCTATTAAAATAATGAGGAGAGAAGACCCATTTGAGGCTGGACGGTTTCAGATTGTTGTCTTATGAGATGGTTGGTTTGGGTCTCCATGAAGACGTGTGAACCTGTTCTCATAAAAAAAAAAAAGACCAAATTGGCTGAGATGCCCAGTTTATTTTTTGTGATGTGGATTACTATTTGCTAAGAACAAGCCAAGGACAATGAATCCGTTTTGCTGAGGAGTGGAGAGTGGGATTGTGCTGAAGTCCCAAACGGGAAAGATCAATACTTTATTTACTAAGACAACCCTAAAAAAATAGAGTCAATAGCTGGCTGTGCTTTTTTATCTGTTTCTCGGCTTAGGTTGATATTTATTCACATACGTAATCACTTTATCTAAATAAAAAATGATAAACTATATATCAAGCTTAAAATTCAGATGGTCATGGAATATGAGAAAAGTCATTCTTTGATGTGATTTTGCGGTCTGTTTTAAAACTTGGTACAAGTCTGTGAGGTAATCTTAAATGTGCTGAAGCTCACGCAATAGGATATTGTATAGTTTGATACCAAGACGCAATTAACAATGATACGAAACCATCACACTATGAATGTCCCTGTGAGATACAAGTGTGTTTTTATTATGATTCCCTAGCTGTAATTTAACTCCCCTTTATACGTTGCTTAAATTCCTCAGATTAGTTGCTTTTAGACCAAGAAACCAAGTGGATAAAAAGATCAAATGCAGTAACTGACATGGAATTATGGAAGTCGTAAAAATGTATCGCCCTTACATGACCTGGGGAGAGATACAGTCAATGATATTGCTCTCACACGAAGTTTAACTTGTTGCCCCTTCCCCTAAACGTGTGTTTGCTGAGGAGAGAGGCTCTGCTCTTTGTAGCCCACTTTTCACGATCTGCTCCAAGGGCAGGAGCTGGTGATGAGATTTAGTATAATATTGGCTCGTTCACTTGTGGGGTCATCACCAGAAACGTGGGGCTTTGCTTCAGAAGGACAGTTTGTGGAAGAAGAGTCTTGGATGTCACCTATAGCTCTCTCCCTTCTGGATTCTTCAGGAAAGTCCAAAAATAGAGGGATGGATAAAGAGGTAAACAGATAGATAGAAACATGGAAGTGTAGATACATGCCTACAAGCACACAGACACGGACATACATAATAGAGAGGACACAGGGAGATCGGCTAGAGCTTCAAATTTCCAGTGTGGAGCTCTCAGGGAAAAAATAAGGTCTTTATTTTTTTTAATTCCTTAATTAAAGAAACATTCCTGTGCTCCGTATCTTGGAGAATTATCTCCAGATTTTCATGAAAGAAAAAAAAAATTACAGTGGACATAAGAAAGATTCTACCCTCTACCACGGTAAGATATTCGTAAAACATATTTAATCTATTATAAAGTTGCTGGAAAACAAAAATGCCATGAGGCTGCACTGGAACTAGCATAGAATCTTATAGGGTGTGTCACTATATGGAACACGGATTTCAGTAAACCACAGATTAAACAATTTCCCTCTAAAGCATAGTAGCACAGAGTAAAAGCCCAACACAGTAAGGTGGGCAGTTTGATAGAGAGTCCTGCTCCCTCAAAACCACAGGGCAGGGGGAAGTTCGCAAATCATGAGCTTAGTGAATCCAAGATGTGACCCAGAGGGACATGGCCTTCCCATGGAGCTGATAAGGGCTCCAGTAACTTTCTTCTCCTTTTGGGATTGTTAACACACCAGCGTCTAGGGAAGGCAGGTTATGTACTGAAGCATCGGATGCCCAGGGTCAGCTGATTAAGCATGGCCAGGGCTCAGAAAGATCCGGTATACTGTAAGTAAGAATGTGAATAGCTGTCTCAAACTTTAGGAAAAACAAGAATAGCTGTCTCAGACTTTAGGAATAACAAGGTCGGCACCTGAAAAGTTAGACTGTACTCCTGACGTTTTATATTAAGGGTTTGCCTCATAGCAGCTTTCTGAATAAGTGGGAATTTCTCTACAGCGTATTCTCTGATATTGGCCGATAAAAGGTGACTGTAATCCACGAGACGACACCATTGTCAACAGAGAGAGAGAAGATTTCAATCAGGTGATTTTCATTGTTTGATAGAAGTAATCTTCATGGCTCTGTTGTTCTTCATCAAAGGGCGCTGATGAAGCACCTTCATGCCCTGTGGTTTACAGAAGAAAGCGGAGAACCAAAAAATAGACTATTTGGTCCTTATTAAAAATGGACCCTATGTAAAGCAATGTGGTATTAAAACAGAGTGAAATCTAATACAAATGTGGCTTCAACAAGTGTTATTAAATTATTAGACCTTCAGGTAAAAATATACCCTTGAATCGCTTTTATATGCAATCAAAGCCATGATGAAATATTAAGGCCCTAAGATTAAAGGGTCACGGGTGCGTGCATGTTTTGAAGCAGTGCCCCTAAATGATAAACAGAAAATGTTGCAGGTTAGCTCAGTTTTGCATATGCTGTGGATGCTGACACCTTGACCAATTTCGAGAGTGGAAGCCCCACTGGAAATCCTCACTCGATTCCAGGGATCTGGGTCAGCTGTGCCTGGTGGAGCTCGTGTGTGCCCATGGATGTGGTGTGGCTCTCTCTTTCCAAACTGCAAAAATCCCAGCCATTTTCTTGAGCATGCACTGGCCCTATGGCAAGATCCCGCTGTAGAAAGATGGCTGTGTCGAGGTTGGAAGAGAGGGCTGATTGTAGCAAATCCCCTTCTGAAACAAAAGCCCAGTAAAAGATGCTGCTCTGCCTTCCTAACCAGTGTGATGCACTGGGGCTTCAGAAAGAAACACGTTTGGTTTTTTTGTTGTTGTTAAGAAATGCTTTCCTTTGTACCTGATAACTGAGTCTCAAGTCCAAGAAAACGATAGCATCTCTAGTTCTTGTGCTTCCCTTCTAGTAACTGGTGATTCATTAACAGACCAGGGGTGTGTTCTCCTGTGCACGGCAGTGTTAAGTAAGGTACCATTGGCCTTATGCCTCAGCCCAGGCGGCAGCAGGCGCAGAGGCCCCAACTTGGGCCCTGCACAGGCCAGCTGGGTGACCTAGCCCAGGGCCGGCTGGCCCAGGTGCAGCCCCTGGGCACAGGCAGTGAGGGCAGAGAGCCCAGGCTGGCTGCTGCAGCATCTGTGCCTCGGGATCCCCTGGCTGTCCTGCATCCCTGCTCCGGGCAGTCCATGCCCTTGAGCGTAGGCTATCCTCACCCTGCCAGTGTGCATCCCAAAGGAGCAGACACCACAGCATAGGCTCAAACAAAGCTTTATCTCTGGGAGGAGGGTGAGCCTACTGCTTCCTGCCCATTCATTCTCACATTGATTTGTACCTGGGAAAGGCCCCAGCACAGCTCAGGGCCCTGCTCGCGGCTGGCAGAATGAGTCCGCGCTTCCGGTTAGTTGTGAGTTACCACTGTCCCCACTGGAGGAGCGCTTCCCCCTGGGCATGATCTGAATGGAACCTGTGGTGCAGAATCCTGAGAAAGGGCTGGAGGAGCCTCCTGGTGATCCAGTCCCGCACCCCTGGCTTGGGGGCAGTGCACCTCAGCCCCTCCAGGACTGTGGAACAGTTGGGTGGGGTCTTGCAGCTGAGCTTGGTAGCCGATGATGGTTTCCAAGTAACCACCGCTCCTCTCTGAAATTCCTCTTGGTTTAATCTTCCGCAGAGAACTCAGATGCCCAGTGGGCCCTTCTGAGTGCCCAGCCCCCTAAAACCTGCCGTGCTCACTGTTCTGAACACACTCACCCTTGCCCTTGGCCTTTTTGGGTTGGTGCTTAAATAAGCAAATACTCGGGAAGCCCTAGTGCACCTGAGGCCCCATGCTGGGTGCCGAGAAGGAGTGGTGCAGGGGGGGCACAGAGGTCCTCATGGGGAGAGGAGCCCCCGAGGTCAGACCAGCATAGCAGGAGGGCGACCTGTGGTGCGGCCTGGTGAGGACATTTAATGTGGAGGGTGGTGCTCTGCTTAGTTGGACAGGGCCTCCATCCTGAGCTGCGAGGAGAGCAGGGACCACGAAAGACTAGGCCGCTGGCTGTCTGGAAGCACTTACACAAAACACCAAAATTGGAGAACTTTAAGTCAAAAAACGTGTTCTTTGATTGGGTGGGCTGTGGTAGCCATGAGGGAAGGAGGCCAGGCCAAGAGCTCCAGTGACGTCGGGGAATAAGGGAGCCCCTTGGAGTCTCTCGCCTGAGAGTGAAGGAGTCAGATCAGGAGGACTCAGTACCTGCTGGGAGGACCCAGAAGGGGACTTCCCCCACACCCTCGATGGTGGCCCTGAACTCCTCATCCAGCTGGAAGGACCCAGGAGGGGACTTCCCCCCACCCCACCCCGATAGTGGCCTGGAATGCCTCACCCAGCTGGGAAGATCCAGAAGGGAACTTTCCCCCGCCCCCCACCCCATGGTGGCCCAGAATGCCTCACCCAGCCAGGCTTTGTCCTAGCCCAAAAACCAGGGCAAGTACTCCCAGGCTGTGTGACAGAGAACTTCCTGATCTCAGGCAGGGACTTGGTTTTGCAGGAGGACTAAGAGTGTTGGGAATCTCCAGGCACCGCCCCCTGCCCACGCCACTGCGTAGACACCAGGGGCCGTGCCTGGGACAGGATGTCCACAGGAAGTGCCCGCGGGTAGCCCGGAGACCTTGGAGGACAGGTGCTGTGAAATTTCAAGCTAAACACAGACTCTGACTGTAAGGTCGCTGCACCTGTCTCGGCACACATGGACTCGGTGGTGGGCCTGAAGCCAATTTGCATCCTGGTAGCTTCCCTTTGAAAGCCAGGCCTAGGGAGTGTGTCTCCAACACAGGCTGGTACCTGAGGGTCCTGGGTCGGGGGATTCTCTCCTTTCAAGATATCACTGCCACTGCGTGGAGCTCCTCACTGAGGCCTGCTTCGACAGCGGGCTTAGCCTCCTGCCTCGCGCCCACTGAGGGGATGTTTCTAATTCTTTCCACTGCATCCACTTTAGAGACCAACTCATGCTCATCTGAGCCTCCTCCCGTGCTGCAGATGCAGCTGGACTGTCCCAGCTGCCCTCCCCAACCCTTCAGAGGAGCAGGGTGGGCCTGTGCGAGCCTTGCTCTGGGGAGCCTTGAGACTCTGCTCCTCTGGAGGGATATTTCGACCAGAGCAGGCCCAGCCTGGATGGGGCAGGCGGTCTCTACCACCTCAGGCTGCTCAGGCAGGAAAACTATGGAGGAAAAGGGCTGCCAACCTCTTTAGCTTGGGTTTCTTATTTAAAACCAGATAAAACAAAATGAAAATTGGAAAAATATATATTTTTTCTTATAAGAGAAATACAAACATTTAGAAAGCACATTTTAAAAACATGAAAATAAAAATTCTCAAAATTTCATCATCCAAATAATTGTTTACATCCTATATATACACATGCAAATCTGTTAATACGTGTGTGTGTATATACACACATCTATAAATTAGATTATATCTTATCGACCGTATTATGACCTGGCCTTTTCACTTGATGTATTGTGAATCTGTCTTCATGTCACTCAAATTCTTCTACAGCATAAAATTTAATGGCTGCAAAGTGTTTATTTCACGTATTGCAAGCCACATTTATGTAACAGATCTCCTGTATTAGGCCGTTTCGATTATTTTCAAGTGTTTATTATTGAGAACAATGCAGAGATTAATTTTTGTAAGAGAATATTTAGCAAATTCAAGAACATTTCCGTCAGCTAAAATTGCAGAGGTGAAAGGCTCCCGGGGAAGTCGGTGCTGGGAAGCTGGTGATGGTGGGAGAGGCTGGCTTGGGGCAGGCCAGTGGTACCAGGTTTCTTGCTGCTCTAGGAAGGTCTAGGGAGATTTGGACCCACATTTCCAGCGACTCTGAGTCCTCCAGGGAGACCTGGCACCGGACAGGTGAGGAGGCAGAAGAGTCCTGCCCATGGGAAATTCCCATCTTCAGTTCCAGGACAGGGAACCCGGACGCACCCGAACCCCACCCGCCCACGCTCTGCGGCAGGACTGTTTGCTGAGCCTCGGCCAGGTGAGTCCAGCGCGCCACGGCTCCTGCTAGCACAGCAATGGTGGCGAGCTCAGCACTGCCCTTTACAGTTTATACGTCCCTCCCGAGGGCACTATTTTATTTCATCCTTGTACAAATTTTGTAGAGAAGTGCCATTTTCATCTCCACGTTGGAAAGAACAAACCAGGGTCTGGAGACTTACAAGTGGCCCAGATGAAAGGCCAGATTCCTGGCTCTGCAGCACGCCCGTGCCTCCCTTGAGGGGCCGCTCAGGCAGAGAAAGACCCCAGACCTGGGCTTCCTGCCCTCCCTGCTCTCATGGGCCAGACCCTGTAAAGGCAGTGGTTGGACCAGACAGTGCCTGCGGCCCTCGGCTCTGACGCAGGAGCAGGGTGTCAGGAGATCCAGGCTGCAGGGCTCTGCACTCGGATGTGGTGGGGTCACACATCAGCACCGAAGCATTTCCTTTGAGAAGACCATGACTTTCTGGGCAGCCCGGCGGCTGCTCATCAGGACAGGCTGGACGTGGGCTTGTCCGTGGTGACATCTCTCTTAAAGATCGTGGTGTGAACATGTATGCCAACGAGAGGCAGGAGGGCACCCTGAGGAACACATACCGCAAAGGTGTGCTGGGGGCCCAGCATCGTGGCTGCAGCAGAGCAGACCACGGAACCAATGCTCATTCCCAGGCCTCCGTGGCAGCACAAGGCGTTTGGGGGTCCCTGAGGCCCCACATGGCCCAGTGGTGGGGAACAGAAACAGCACCCACATGTTACTGCTGACCCAGAGAGGAACACAGGGCCAAGTGTGTCAGAAATCCTCCTTGCGGGGACTGACTCCTTTGAATACAAATAATTTTAGAGTGTGGCCACAGGGTCAAACCCTTTACCTGGCACAGCTATTGATTGTATGGATTCCTCAGCGTTGTAGCACTTATTTGTTGACCTTACTTTTCTTCCTTATTTTTGGCTCTAGAGAGCTGACGTCCTTTTAGCAAATATTCATTTCGCCTTTCCATATTCCTGTAAACCAGAGCTTCTTCACCTTTCTTAATGCCATGGATCTTTTGGGCAGCCATGGGAAGCCTACTGACATACCCTTCTGAGATGAATATATTTAAATGCATGCAATAACATACACAGGATTTCAAGGGAACCAGTCAGATTTAAATAGTTACAAAATGTATTTTCATTGTGATGCATCTTTCTTTACTAATATCTTTAATAACAAGATGTAGCAGCAGGTCTGTTGGCAAATTTTGAAGTAGTGAGGAGCAGAAATGATATTCTGAGATATCTGTAGGTATAACATGATATGAAAATATCTGTGGTTTAAATCAGCCACAATGTCACAGGCACTGCTAAACCCTGCAAGGGTTTGATGTCTACTTCATAATGAAAAGAATCAGTGGATTCCAGTTAGAGATGGACTAGTAAAAACAAGGATGAACTTTTCCCATCCAAGTTCACAGGATCCAGATTTAAAACACCTGCTTTAAAGTAAACAGAAATAAGTAATCCTGTTTAGAGGAGCCCGAAACACAGAGAGGCTGAGTGTTTGGTCCAAGACAGCACAGCAAATTAGAGCTTCTGTTGAATACATTGCCTGGCTGGTGCCATCTCCAGCTTTTTCCTCATTAACTCTCGGTCTTAAAATGAATACTAATCTGGAAGTTTCATCCTAAAATGCTTCCAAAAAGACTAATTGACTATATTTACTACTCAAATGATGAAGACTACTGGTGAATTTATAAGACTTTTAAAGGAGCATTTTAGAAAATAGGAAAAGGGTTATAATTTACAATTCAAACCCAAATCACACACAGAATTGTTCAATTAGGGAGGATTAGAAGATTCATTTTTATCAGAGAAAATCTTGAAAATCCAATGTCCAG